TGCAAACTTTTATATCCTTATACATATATATATATATGTTCTTGAATTGGAACTGGAATAGAAAAAGTGTCTGAATATTTAAATTCACAATTACACATTAATTTGTAAATTTTGTTTGAGCGTTATAAAAATTTCGAAACATGTTAAAAAGTCCTTCGGTTTAATAGACAACGTGAAATTTGACCGCATTCTACCATGTATATATGGATCGCGTCACGTCATATCGAAGGAACTCCCTGATAGTTTTAAAATTGGTATTATAAGGCATGTGCCTGCTTTACACAACATACACATCTTTTCTATGGAAAACCTAATTTTCCGTCAATCCTTTTTTACAGTTAAATTAGAAAATGTTATACACATGCGTTTAACTTAATCATTCTAAACCAATTTATATGGGTAACAAACAGTTATCAATATAGGCAGCAGCAGTTTGCCCATGTTGAATTATCAGTTATGACATAAAGTAATATATCCAAACTGAGTTTTTGTCGATATAATGTAATTTTTCAATAAACCATAAAATTATCAATTGTACTGATATTCATTGGACAACAGAGGACAATTCGGCTGCCATTTTGATTTCACAACAGAGGATAATTCGGCGGCCATTGTGATTTGGCTGCCATAATGGTAGTTAATTTAGCCACTCTTCTTCTACCTATGAGATGATCAAATAGTGTGTATGATTACATAAGTATATATAGGGTTCCTTTTAGGAATTTTGTTCTTGAAATAAGTTTAAAAAATTTTGTTTCTTATTTGTCAATTGATTAAATTTATAATGTTATATTTTGTTTTGATTTGATTTTGTGCAATTTTTTTCGGTGTTTTTTTTTATTTATTTATTTATTTTTTTGCTTGTATATCTCAATTCTTTTCTTTTCTGTTTTTTTCTTCTTTTGACTTTCCTTGACTTAATGATTGATTTATTTATCGGTTGCGTGCGTTTATAAAAATTGTTTGATATTATCTCACTTTGATATATGTGCGGAAGACAATGCTTCTTATGTCGAAATACAAATGTGTAGATATTAAGGATTCAATCGCTTTTAGCTTGTTTATAAGGGACAGAAGAGAACACAATTGATTTTTTCTCAATCTGTAAAGAGAACCACCCATACATCTCATTTAGTCTTTTATTCCGTAATTCCATTATTTCCAATGTCATAACCTAAGCAATTCACTACAATTATCATGTGTTTAAGGTAGACGTACAACTGGGGGCATGTAATTTGAAGATGAAATGCTTTGACCAACGATTTAGTGCATGTACATGTGCTAGTTGAGCCCAAGGTTATACTTCTGGAGCACCTGAGATTACCCCCAGTTTTGATAGGGTTCATGTTTCTCAGTCTTTAGTTTTCTATGTTGTGTTTTGTGTACTATTGTTTGTTTGTTGGTCTTTTTCTTTTCTATCCGTGACGTTGTCAGTTTATTGTCGACGTGTGAGTTTGAATATCCCGTTTGTACCTTTCGCCTCTCCTTAGGTATCAGCTGAGTTTAATATTTTCATATCACGATTAAATGAACACAAAGAATGCACATACTATCCTGTTCAAAAACGTTTTACGAGACACTCTTCACGACAAGTGTTTTATCAGGTACGTTCAGCAAGAAACGTTTACACTTTCAAAAAGTTTTTTTTAACTTCAGATGACAGAAACATAACAACCTTATACCCTTCACCTCAAAAACAAATCCTTCTTCCAAGAAAATAGTTGACATAAAATTACTGTAAGGAAACAAGTTCCTTTATTTTGCGACATTTTACAATAAACCAAGGTAAGCGAGTTCCCGTCATATTTTGACGACAAAATTATTTTATGTCTACCTGTGCGAATTTCAAACGCGAAATTTTACGCCAGTACTTAAAACCTTTTCAACCTTTATGGGTGGATTTTACATAGATAAATATAATCGTATAATAATAAAGCAAAATGAGGATGTGAAATTTGATGTATGCCTTTTTGTGCTTCTTCGTTACATTTGTTTGTTTTTATAGTGATTAAGATGATAACCCAATGTTGACTGCTGTACCCCTATTTTTGACATTTTCACCTATTGTGTCTGTTTGTTTTGTTCACGCATCGTTGTCAATATAATGGAATTTGATGCGACTGTCATACAAGTGAGAGGTTTAGCTAGCTATCAATCCACCATTTTCTACATAAGAAAATGTCTGTACCAAGTCAGGAATATGACAGTTGTTATCCATTCGTTCGATGTGTTTGAGTTTTTGATTTTGCCATTAGGGACTTTCCTTTTTGAATTTTCCTCGGAGTTCAGTATTTTTGTGATTTTACTTTTTTTTCCCAATCAATTATTTTAGTTTTGACCTGACTTCTTTCTTACTTTATTAATATCAATATTTAGATGCATTAATTTAGTGTCTAATCTTGCAATTTTCATTACGATATTTCGCTATTTCTGTATACGAGTTTTCAAACAATATGGAGAAAAAAGAAAATATATTTTGAACAACCTAGAGTAAATAGTAAAAAATCCTATTTATCTCATACGCTGTATATTGCAATAAAAACAAGCCATAACATGAGGGTCTTGATGGGGACCCTTCATTTCTGTATTCTTTAATTTTAATGCCATTTTTCTGTATTCCTTATATTTTTTGCCCCTTATTCTCTATTCCTTATATATGTGGACCCCATTATTTTCTTTTTTTTTTTGGGGGGGGGGGGGGGGGGGGGGGGTGGGGTGCAATTTTTCTTTCATCTTTATTTTTTCGCCTCGTATTCTCTACTCTGTAAACCCTAATCCAGACCCTGTAACATAATTTGTGTTTTATTGGCTGAATGACTAACTTTGCTCCTCCCACTTCTTATAATATGTTAAAGCTAGCATGTAAGGTAACATAATACTTGTTCTCTGCTGTCTACTGGAACTTATGAAAGATTTGTGTTTTAAGTTCAGAAAGGATACAGGAAATTTTAGATAATATGTTACAGAACAACTATAAGCAACTTATGCACTGACATATACAAGGCATATTCTGAGGTGAATATATCTTTATTAATGAACCAATTCAATTCCAAATATTTTTGAAAAATTGTTTGAAAATTAACGAATTTTAAGGTATATGTTAGGATAATATAATTCGTATGTTATTTCAGGTGTACCAGACTAAGAGATAATTGTAGATCGTTTATCAAAAGTCACTCATCGCTCAATAATATTTTTCAGTATGATGACACACATGTTAAGCACACTATATTGGTCTTTGATAAGATTTATGATTTGCGACCATGTTCATTTGATTTATGCTGAGATTCAAAAGGGAAAGTTCCTGACGGACAAAAACATCAATATATTATCAGCTGGACGTCCTACCTTAGTGTACATAAAAGAAAGGTCCCTCATGGAATGTAGTCGACGGCTTCTTAATAATGATGACATTTGTGTCGCAAGTTATGATACAGAAACGCACATGTGTATGATGTTTACTTTTTGTTTCTCTCCGTTAATCGATGTTTCAAACTCAGAAACCTTTCTTATTCAAAGAGACTTATCAGGTATGTTCACAAAAGAAATAGGAAAGAAAAGTTACATGAATAATATCATCTAAATACTTTTTTTAATTTATATATAATTATCTTTTTCTCAAGGTTTTAAATACCGTATTTTCTCTTTTCAAATATTTTGTTAACTGAGCGTATTTTAAAACAACACATAAGGTAGGTAAAATTACATTTATATCTTTCTAGGTGATATTTACTAACAATTAATTGTGACATGATTGTTTTATGTTCTTTAATTGTCCTTGCTCACAATTATGTTTAGGAAAAATAAGCAATCAGCCCACATAGATCTTACGAATTTACTTGACTTCCATAAGTATAAATGTTAAACATATATATACAAAAAACATACTTTTGTTTTGTGATGTCTGGTATACATGCCGTTGCTGGTCCTTCTGATTAGCCAACGATCAAAATTATCCAAAAACTTTACATGATCTAATCTGAACTTCATTCAGGTTTTTCCCTACCGCAACGGAGTGAGTGTCATTAAGTGTCTACAAAATTAGTTTCTGTTCTCTAACCTTAGTTTGACGCAACAAAATATTATGAAACTTGTACATGTTAAATACAATGCATATTACCACAAAACATAGATCGAACCGTTCTTGAGTGATGTCCCTTCGTATTGTTATATGCAAGCGGGGTCATTATCTGTGTCCAAAGGACACATTCTCTATTTATTTTTTCATTAGCATTTATATATAGTTTGCTGTAGAATATACTTAGAGCCTTGATGTTCTCTGGTAAAATGAATGAAAATAAGAGAAAACTTCGCACAGCCGAACAATTCACTTACCATTCTTTGAATCCTTAGTTCCCTTCCTTTTGACCTGCCCATTATGATTGCATATTTCGATAAATAAATATCGTAATTGAAAAAATTCTCGAACATTCACCCTGTTCTCGTCAAAACAAAAATTGATATCTTATACCATCAATGATAAAAAAAAAACATACATGGAAAAGTACGATATACAGTGCCGGAAATAATGATTAGCGACACGAAAAGATTTTTTGTTCTGGAAACACAAGTGCAAAAGATCAACTTGTTTGTGATTGCCCTTTATCAGATGTTGAAAAGCAGAATAAATTCACGATCTTCTAATTAATACAAATAAGAGCCCATACAAAGTTATGACTCAGCAACATTTGCCACATGTGGAGCAGGATCTGCTTACCCTTCCGGAGCACCTGAGATCACCCCCAGTTTTTAGTGGGGTTCGTGTTGCTTCGTCTTTAGTTTTCTATGTTGTGTCATCTGTGCTATTATTTGTCTGTTTGTCTTTTTATTTTTGGCCATGGCGTTGGAAGTTTGTTTCGATCTATGAGTTTGACTGTCTCTCTGGTATCTTTTGTCCCTCTTTTGATTCAGTTCCTGTTTTGTCTTCAAAACAATAAAAATCTTCATGTTTTTAAAGAATTTAACATATGGTTATCTTTATACGAGAATGTAAAACTCACATGAATTATGATCTTTTGAGATATTGTTTTATAGTTCAACGCCCACGTGACTGCAGTGACATCCACCCAGGAAGTTTATCAGGAGTATATACTATTTACCCAACAGATGAACAGTTTGATGTTTACTGTGACATGGATACATCTGGACCTGGATGGACTGTAATTATAACTATCATTTATTCTGAAGTAAACAGGATAGAGATGGAAGATACCATTTGGACATTCAAAACTCATAAAACGAAGAAAAACTGACAACGCCATGATAAAAACGACAAAAAACGACGAAAAGACAAAAAGGTGTAAACAAAATTACATAGAAAACTAGATTAAACATCAAGAACTCCACCAAACACGGGGGAATTTCTTAGGTGGGAATCTAGCCGGAGGGGGGTAACATAAGATATGAACTCTGTGCGGAAACACGTGGTTTTTTTTTCTCACTACGTTTCTCATTTTATTCTAACATACTTCATTGTCTCGATATTATGTTAAATGCTTGTTCTTTGAAGTCTAGTTACAACCATTCCTTTCATATTGAATATTTAATACATTCTACATCTTTTAAAGACAGCAATACACTTATATTGTCTTACACCAAAACACTTCCTTACACCAAGACTGTTCCAACAGAGTTATCTTGAATAACTACTAAAATGTTTATTTTACACTGTAAATTTACCATCTTTGTCCTATTCACGACAGTGACACTTTTGCCGAGTGTGGTTTCGTGTGGCGGGAGCTACGTGCATAGCAGGCGACGATTACTCCTTCGACACGCCCAGTCGCGGTCCTTTTTGGAGTTCCTGCAATTCCCCAAGTTTTTGTCTGTTACCATTATCTGTCTTCTAAATCAAAAAACCAGATTTTTAAATACTGTTGTTTTAATGTATCTACTATGTTTTCATATTAACAGATTTTCCAAAGGAGAACGGATGGAACTATCGACTTTTTCCAGGAATGGTATGAGTTTAAGATTGGATTCGGAAATTTGGAATCAGAATTTTGGTTGGGTAATTTTCTTTTTAATATCTACTTAAAAGTTTGGTTTTTAACTTTTCTCCCATCATTGTTTGTAAGAGTAATTTGGGCAGACTCTTAAAAACAACATTAACCTTTAATTTTATCTCAGTCTTTATTAAATTTCCAAAGTGCAATATTCTTAGAACTCAGATACATTGATGGTTACAAAAACTAAAATAATATATATTTGATAAGCCTTTTATTTTCAAATATTTCTGCCTCGAGCATCACCATCAAGACCTATTGTTTGTCGAAATACGCATCCTGGCGCAGAAAAATTAGTTCCGTTTATGTTATTATATAGCTAGATATGTAACCCAAAACAACATATCTTACAATTGATACTCAAGTTGGAGACGATCAAGTATGATTCAAATGGTGAAAATTTCAAAACGCTTCTTGTTAAGCTGATACCATTTTTGGTTTAACCCCTTTAAGAATAAACGTCGTGTTTTACGGATATATTTTATTCAGGTTGTCCAATGAATACAAGAAAATTCATTCAAACTACACGATTGACGTCATTTCTGTCAATCTGACGTTATACCATTATTGATTGAATGCAAAGGATCTTACAAAATAAATTTTTAATACTATCTAAGAAGAAGATATGTGTATTATTTTTTATTTTGTTTTGAAAATTTCTGTTGACATATTCTAACGGGTAAAACATAAGAGCCTAGAGCAGTCTGCCGACAAGGAACATGTGTGCCAATAGCGCGACAGAACGGTTCACCAGAATCAGTTGAATCAAACAAACTAAATTTAATTATTTATTTGTTAAAACTTGTTATGGAATTCATATACGTAACTAATTGTTACACCCAACAAAATGCATACTGTTATTTTTTACTCGTCAACGTTTGTATTAGGTTTTGGATTTTCACAGGTTTTGGCCCCACGAATCACTGTAGAAATAATAATTGTCTACATGCTCATATGGTGCAGTGAAATTGGTACCTTTTAAAGTTAATATGAGGATCTTGACGGGGTTGACGGAATATAGAATAATGGACAAAAAAGTGCACAATAATGGGCTAGAAAACAGAAAAAAAAATGAAATTAAAAAAAAAAAAAAATAAAAAAATAAAGAATGAAGAATAATGGGGTGCTAATATACAAAGAATAGAAAACAGTAGGCAAACTTAATGATGAATAGAGAACAATGACCTATAAAAATTAAAGAATAAAGACCCTCTATTGTGTTTTTTTTTATCAACTAGCTACAACACGTAGAAATCAACATATCTCACTATCCAGCGAATTAAGTTTCAAAATTTATTTTAAATTAAATCCTTCACTTTAAGATCTATTGTATATTGTATGTGATTGTATTGTATCTAATTTTGGTGGTGCGCGTTTTGCTTTGCTTCTTGTCGATCTCATTAGCTAACCCCTATCTTCTACTTATTATTACTACGCAGCTGTCGTAAGTCAGAACAGAGATGAGTGCTCACACATATGTCTAGCTCCGCCAAATTTGTTTGGGCCTGTCCCAAGTTATGATCACGTACTTTTATAGTTATCGTTGTTTGTTGTATGCACATTTGTTGTTCTTTTATCGTGTTAGGTATACATAATGCAGTTGCTTTAAACTGGTAACGTTTTCTGTATGAAACCACACAATGTGTTTCCTTAAATATATTTCACAGCATGGTCTAGAATTCATATAACTTGGTAGGAATATGTTAAGATGCGTGATCATTTTTTGCTAATTGCATTGTATTTCATTGTCTAACAGGAAATAAATACATACACCTTCTTACCTCTATTGGAAGGAAGAAACTATACATTTATCTTGAGGATTTTGAAGGAAATTCGAGATATGCAGAGTACAGTGACTTCAGTATAGGAGATGCTACAACGAATTACACTTTGAATGTTGACGGATATAGTGGAACTGCAGGTGAAAATAAAATTACAAGTGTTTTAAGTCCGAAATTATAAGTATGTATTTGCAGGGGGGATGCAGTAGGAAATACTTACCCTGTCGACGAGCCCGGTCTCGCTTCTTTTGAAGTTGATGGAATAATCTCAGGTTTTGTTTGCTTCATTGGTTTGTCTCTTCCTGATCGGTTTGTGAGATTTGAATTTTGATAACCTCTGACATTTTAATGATACTAGTTCCGTTTTGTACTCTGTTTTAATGAAACAAACTGGTGGAGTACAGCATATTTTGTTTTAACAAAAAGTATTTTGTACGGCATTACTCTCAAGTGTAATATAAAGTTCGGTTAACAGGTCATAACTGTGACGTAATATTGAAACCTGTATGAATAGCTTTAACGTTTTTTTTTCTCTCCTGGAAAAAAAGGTTCAATCGACGTGTTTTTTGTAAATGTTTAAACTTCATCGATCAAATTGGAACCCTTAATTACACCAGACGACGCCATTCAAATGAACATAATATTTACTTTATCAGAGAACGGTTCTACAAAAACGACGACATTCTATAGCCGGGAAACATGTATGATTATCTTTCGATATTTTGAAAGCACTTTATAAGAGCTGTCTTCTGATATATTATTTAAAAATTCTATCTTTTAAAAACAAAGAAGATGTGGTATAATTGCTAATGAGACATTTAAATTAGTTTATCTTCTGTTACTACAATGATGCTTTTCTCTGTGTAATTCATAAAAAATGTGTTATTTTTCTACAACCTGTAGCTTGCATTGAAAACAAGTTTGGTGACCTATCATTATAGTATATTTGTTAACATACAACAATATATACTTAACTTTGGCAAAGTGAGAAACAATCATTTTTCGTTTATACTCCGATATCAAAACTAAATTCAACAATTGGATTTGGGTGATTTATTGTTAATACAAAACACTTTATCAACAAAAAAAAAGATATAAATTTTCTGTAATCTGATAAGTACTTTCGCATATATATATTTACATGTATACAATAAAAACCGTATGAGAATTGCTCGCCGTTTTATGAGATAAGTACATTCTAATTGCCTTTATTATTTACGAATTTTGTATTGTCAAATTAATAAGTATTGATATTCATTTGTATTTTTTTGTTTGTTTACATGCACAGGAGATAGTCTTATGATTCCTGGTGATAGAAACCAAAACGGGATGATGTTTTCCACTAAAGATAGAGATAACGACAGATACTCTGCTTACAACTGCGCTTTAAAGTATAAAGGGGCGTGGTGGCACAATGGGTGTCATTGGGCAAATTTGAATGGAGCATATTTAGGTGGACCGCATTTGTCATTTGCCGATGGTATCAATTGGTTTACATGGAAAGGATATCGATATTCGCTGAAGTCTACTAAAATGATGTTTAAAGGAAACTAAGAATGACGGTGTTTCACCTTTCTTTTTTAAAATCCACAAGGACATTTAACATTAAATGGTTTAGAGATATTATCTGAACACAATTTAGAAATAATAACAAATAATTTAGTGATATTTTCTAAATAGAAATATAATCAAATATTGTTTTTATTTTATTCGAAATTAATAGGCTTACACCATCAAATGACCATTACCCATTTTATTAAATCGGCTATTCGAATATATTGTTCACGACAGACTTTTGAATATAAATAAAAAAACATATTTATATACCTCCTTATGAAAGAATTTAAGCATTAGTTCAAATATAAGAAAATATGACATTAAAAGACCTCCGAGAAAAAGCGGAATGTCAAGATCCCCCATTATGTTATATACATTAACATTCATTAATGTCAATTACAACTTTTCATTAAACTTTTACTTAATTACAAAGCATCAAAAATATTAGTAAATTACAATAAAAGCACTTTCATAAGCCTGTATTCCCTAGAATGGACGAGTCTATATCGGATTGAAATTAAAGGATTTATTTACAGTAATAATACTGATGTTTACCAATAACAAATATTCAAAACGGACTTAAACTATCGCAGTAGTTATTACAACATATCAAGTGCCAGATATTAAGCAAGATTTGCTTAACTTTCAGATGCACCTGAGATCATCCACGGTTTTTGGTTGGGTTCATGTTTCTCAGTCTTTAGTTTTCGATGTTTTATTTTGTATACTGTTGTTTGTCTTTTAGTCGTTTTTGTGTTATGCTATGGCGTTGTCACCATGCATTCTACTCCTGCGATTTACAACTCTTTTTTGAGGCTTTAAATACAAAAGAAACAACTTCATATTATTTTTTGCACTGTTTAACTTTGTGTTTTACTTTTTTAAATAACGATTAATTATTGTATATAAGAGTTGGTTTATCAGTGCTAAATGTATGTTCTTCCAAAAAAACTTCGTAATACATTTTGGCGTTTAAAATCGGAAATATGTCGTGAAATACGAGACTAAAACTAAACTGTATCAAACGGACCTATACTAGATGCATAAGGTCCTACAGAGTATTTAGGTACATGCACATTAAGGTTTGAAATATATACTTTGTCTACGTGGAATGCAAATTCACAATGAATAGTCCAGTCCAACTGATTTAGACATATGTTTTTGCTTTGTTTATTTTGTTTTGTTTTATATATAAATCAAATTTGTAGAATGGAATGAATAAAAGCATTAAATAAAGCCCAAATGTGTATCATTTTCATGCTAAGTAAAGTACGGTTTGAATAAACATGATATTTTGGCAACATTGATCATTCTTAAATAAGTATACAGTGTATTGTATGAATACAATAAAATTCATCTAAATCAACCGTTATTTGCTTTACACGTCTAAGTTCAGCATATATTACCTGTTACTTTTCATAGATTTATATGATAAAAGTAATGAAGAGAATACTTGCTCTGACGTCACCCAGTATGTAGAGGTCCGAAATTAGTCACAATGGAAACGTAGTCGTCTGACGTACATGTATCATGTGTTCTTTTATCACCAGACATGAAAAATATCTCAGATAATCCGATCATCGCACGAATGATAATAGCAATACTTGCATTATGTCACGTTTAATTCAATTACAGAACATTTTGGACTTTAACATTGTTTGATAAATCTTTAAAAACACTGTTTCCGTTCTAAATGTAAAATTAGGAACTGGAAAAATTATAACAATTTGATAACACATGCCCAATTTACAAATGATTTAACTACAAAATCTATCTTTTTCACCAGCAGCAACGGGTATCTAAATTGTAAAACAACATATCTTGTTTATGGATTGAGTGTAAACTTTACGGGTAGATATATATCGGTGAAACGAAAAGGAGGGCAAACGAATGTATAGATAATAATACATAGTAAAATCCGTATCACATGCTGTAACCCGAGTAACCAATATCTGATAATGGTCGAGTGGCCACGGAATTATAATTAAGCTCAACAGTGGAATATAAAAAAGTAGCTTGATGAGGTTTTGTATTGATACCGAACTGTCTTTCTAGAGTGCCGAAATGTCTTTTAAAGATGCCGAATAGTCCTGGTGCCGATTTGTCTCGATACCAAAGTGTCTAGAATTCATCCATGTTAAGCCGCAGTCAACGGATAGTGTAAATAAGAGAAAAACAAAACCATTGTTTTCCCACTCTGAAATGTTAAATTTTGTTTATAGTTTTAAAGTATGCAATCATAGTCAGGAAAATGAATTCCAATGTGAAAAAGATTTCAGGAATGGTTGAAATAAATTCTGTTTTTGACCCGTTTCTACTGTCCGCGGACTGCGGCTTAACCTCTTGCTGCCGCTTATTTAATGTGGTTATATTTTGTATCATTCAAAGAAATACGTCATTCGATATATGACGTCACGCCATAATGATGTGAAATTGAAGACCTATTGACGAAAAGGATTAAATTATATAATCTTCTGTGTTTTATTTGAAAAAGATGCAGTAATGAATAAGTGCTTGAATAAGTTAGAAAGCATGTCCGACTTTGTCGTCTTTTGAAATATCAAGCGGATATCAACTGAGGAGTTCGGGAAACAATTTCGAGATGTTCTAAAAGGAGTGCGATACAGGGTATGCGATACGGGGTGTGTGATTCATAGTATCGACACAGGACTGGAGTTTTCATCTTTATCAAATATTCAGAATTGCAATAGCAAGTACTAAATATATGTTAAATGTTTTCATTGTGTGTGTATCATCGAAATATTATATGCAACAGGACTAACACTCCTCATCTTGTATCACTTCCAATTAACAAAAGGTAGACTACTAGATTCGAGAACTTCGATGTGCGACACCATAAGGGTGCAATGACAAAATTGATGGTATAGGTTTTGTATATAGTCCTTCTTGCAGTTCGGAGAATGTGATAAATAATTTGATCTCTGATCTCCTAAGCTGACACAGCTTTGATCATCATCATTGTACATCACCTACCATTCGTGATGCCTCCATAAATGACTTTCTTCCATCCGAATGGAAGATGATGTTTATTCATCACATCAGTGCGAAGCTATATGCACTACTCTTTTTCAAAACTACATTCTCTATAAAACTTATATTTGGAAACAACATTTCTGTTACAAATACCAATGCAAACTAATACAAACGTCTAGTTATCATCTCAGATATTGCCTTGTACAGAGTATTAAGACCGGTTGATATTGGATAATATGTAACGTTGAAACGATTTTTTCTAAATATTTCCTTTGGTAACAAAGTCTCGATGCTGTTTCAATTTATAAATTTGTTATATAAAAGTGAGGCCAAAGATACCAACGGGACATTCAAATTCGTAAGTCGAAAATAAACTACGTCATGATGAAAGAAGAAAATGACCAAAAGACAAACAACAGTAGAAATTGACAATGAATGTCAGTCGAGAACAAACCTTTATGACAAATGAGATGATTTCAGCTTCCTTATTGTAAATTTTCCATTTCTATGAAGCAACATTCCAAGATCGCCTGTATATGACTTATATATATTTCACATGTGAAACGATATTATCAAGCTTGCATTTCCTATCATGATTTCCTTGATATTTATTAATTCCTTCGAAAATTTTACGGACACCATGACGAGTTTGTTGATCGTTGTGGGATATCTGTTTCATAGATGACGACTGAAATGTTTCAATTATTGAAACCACAGTCACCACCTCTGTTCCTTGAAATGGAACATACCGAATTAGACTTATTATCGGGTTTGTACTTACATGACCAACACGACAGGTCCCACATGTGGAGCAGGATCTGCTTACCCTTTGGGAGCACTCGAGATCACCCCCTAGGTGGGGTTAGTGTTGTTCAGTTTTAAGTTTTTCGTGTTGTGTTTTGTATACAGTTGATTGTCTTTTGGTCTTTTTTTTTGGTTTTTTGCCATGGCGTTGTTAGTTTATTTTCGACTTATGAGCTTGAATATCCTTTGATATCTTTTGTCTCTCTTCTCCTAAAAAAATCAGAAAACAAGCATGACTTGTCGTAGTCGTTATTTAGTTCAAAAATGACTTGTCAGGCTTACGGTTGTACAACCCGGCCTACTAATGGAAAACGCCTACTTTGATTCCCTGTAAAGAAAAAAAATAAACCAGACATGGCTTTGCAGCCTTAACCTTCAACTCATAAAGAATAGCAATATATATATTTGTGTGACTAAGAGTGCTTCAATTTTTAATGTACTGTATATATCAAAAGGACAACAATTCACTGTCTGTGTATTGTAGACAATGACTTACTTTTCTATATGTATTATTAGACACGGCAAAAAACACCAATTCTGTTGTAGGGACAATAATCTTTTTACCAACACTGGAAAAAAGTTGATTTATATCTGTTATTTCAATTTCTGTGTTATATTTCGAAACGACAGCCCTCTTTCACATGACAAACTGTATTTCAGGCTTATCTGATTAGCAAACAATTGCAAAAAACAAGATGCATATTTTTTATGTTGTATTTGGATGATTGTGGCTGGTTTCCTGTTCTTGTCCCGTATTCGTTCGTTTTCACATGAAACAGTTCATATATTTCTTTTACTTCATTAAGCGTTTTTAAATTTGAATATGAACTATGAACTGGCATTACACATTGACCCAGTAGACCGATGCAAATGCATGACAAAGTATACCGTGCAAGCATTTTGCTACTGTCGAAAGAGATAAGGGAGTTGACAAATAGACAACTACATCGATACTACAAGACAACTATAGGTAAGCATTCACATACATGAATGTACTTAAATATACTAAATCTGCGATAAATGAAAATTATATCAAATTTAAAGATGAGTTTAGATTGTCAATTAGTCAACAGCCAAAAAAGTCCAAATAAAACGCATTTAAGCAGATATAGGTCACCATACGGCTTTTAACAATGAACAAAACTTATACCTTATTATGCATAATTTAGGCTAGATATCAAAAGCAAAGGGATTAACGG